AGTCCTTTGTGAGCAAGGATGTGTCGAAGCTCACCACTTTGCCAAAACATGCATCAACGGTTCAGGACTAACGTTCCTCAACAAGCAAAGTATTTGTTCCTCCATGGAGCATAACATTATTGAAAGACAGGGAAATGTCTGTGGGTAAAGAGCAAGTGACATGCTTCTGTAATCAACATGGGCTCTAGAATACTTAAGAAATCCCTCGTCAGTGAACACGCGCATCCACAAATGCAAGCTAAGACTGTACTATGCAAAGCAGACAGCATTCAGAAACGCCGCCGACTTCTCTGGGCTAAAGCTCATCTGAGATGGACTTTTGCAGAGTGGAAATGTGTTCTATGGTTTGACAAGTTCACCTTTCCAGTTATTCTTTGAAATAGTGGATGTTGTGGTCTCCAGGGCAAAGAGGAAAAGGATCATCCTGATTGTTACCAGTGTAAAATTTAAAAGTCAGGGTCTTTTGTGATTATAGGGGGTTTTAGTGGGTAACTTGCACATCTATGAAGGCACCATTAATCCTGAGGGACACACATACATTTTGGAGCAACATATGCTGCCATCTAGACAATGTCTTTTTCAGGGACATCTTTGCTTGTTTTGGCACTTGTAACAAGAACGTGGCTTCATAGTAAGAGAGTACAGGTGATAGACTGGCCTACCTGCAGTTCAGACCTGTCTCTCAATTAAAACGTGGAAAATAAATGTAAAAATAAGGACCGTGTAGGACAATGGAGACTCTTGACTGTTAATAAAGTGAAGTATTATGTCTAAATGGGATTGAAAAATTCCACCTCGACAACCACAACAACTGGTGTCCTTAGTTCCCAAACGATTACTGATCATTGTCGAAAGAGAAGCTGTTGTTGCACAGTGGTAAACATGCCCCTGGAACATATTTCAGCCATCAAATTTAGAATAAGTAAATACATTCAACAATAAAGTTAATAAATTAGCTGAATTAAATATCTTGTCCTGGTGCTGTTTTCATTTGAATACAGGTCAGGAAGGATTTGCAGATCATTGCTGTCTGTTTTTATTTAATGTCCCAACTTTTAGTTAACCGACCAACACCGTTTTTTTTGTTTTTTGTTTTTTTTATGTAATGTTTCGTTTTAGAGTGCCGACAGTTTGGAGCTTCAGAAACGCCTGCTGGAGCTCAGCCAACAGATGGACACTCTGCAGCAGGAGAAAGAGAGCATGGAGAAAACTTTAAGGGCTGAAATTAAACAGCTCAAAGAACAGGTGGGTGCATGTGCGCATGAATGCTAGTGGTTCACTAGTTTACATGCACTTGAGTAATCAGATAATGGGGAAACTCTGGGTCTACATGAGTCAGGCAATAATCAGATTTCTGCTTCACAACCAGCCAATAAATTCACAGAAGAAGACGTGACATAAACGGAACGTAAAACTAAAATCCAGCCTCTTTATCGGATTTCTTAATCAGATTTCTAGACCTTGCTCTGATCTAAGAAATCAGAGTGTGCTGTTTACAATTTAATTATTTGAATAATCAGATAACTGCAGAAATCAGATTATGATCGGATTACTGAGTGCATGTAAACACACTCAATCATTGTGATCCTGTGGATGAGTAGCTCTGCCCACACTTCACAACTATGTCATGTCATATATCACTGGAAAGCTCATTTACTGTAGAATGTAACTACATTATGTGGATAGTTTCATTTGTACTAACAACATGTACATAAATGTTTTCTGAGATCTGAACTATATAATATAATGATAACTTTGCAAATGTTTTCTTTATTAAACAACAAAACAGTGAATGTTCTGTAGATTTATTTCTCTAGAAAAAAATCTTGACAAATAAACATTGTAATTCTGACATCATCTGTAGGCTAGATTTTTGTTTTTCAACCTTATATATTTAAGTGGATAACATCTCGTTTGCAAATCTAAGTCTAAAAGCATGTGAGAATATCAGTAATCAACTGGAAGAGATTGATTGTGGGATTTCCCTGTTGCCCTGTAGTGTCTTGTCTTAAGCTCACACCGTCTTGTCTTGTTAAGGTTGCGAGTCTGGTTCAGTCCAACGTGAAGATGTTTGAGGAGCTGCAGATGTACCAGTGTCCGGACCAGAGCCAGCAGAGAGTGGCCAAACTGGTGAGTTCTTTACTGTTCTCTGCTGGTTCTTTTAGAGCAAATCACTAATCACAAATCAAATTTTTCCACTGTTAGCATAGCCTAGCAGGGTCCAGTTCAAAGCACCACAGAACAAGTCTTTTGGGGGCTTATACCATCCTGCAAGTACCTTGAATAGATTTTAATAATATACATTTTAGGCCAAAGTCTAATCTCGAAACAAGCAGTACGTCAATAACCATTTTATGCAATAACTTTCTGTGAGGGAGCTTTTAGAGGTGGACATCTGGTTCCTGTCACCACCACTGTGAACAATTCTGAATGGAGCATTTCACACCAAACCACTCTGAATGACTTTGTTTACATCTTAAAGATTTCATTATGCGAACATTTTGAAAAATTGGTGGAGTTCCCCTGCAAGTACATGCATTTAAATGCTGTGTGAGCATGTCCACCAAAAAAGCTTTGGATAAAAAGCAAATAAGCATATAAAATGATGTTATTCGCATTTGTTTGCTTTCAAAAAACTCTGAATTGACTATTGGCTGTAAAGAAATCTCGGTCAGCTGTAAAGATGTGGTCAGTGCACCCTTGACTAATTAAATGACTGACTGATTCTGTGGTTCTTATACTGCAGATGGAGAGTCTACAGGCCCAGCATAAAGAGCTCCTGCAGGCTCAGCTGGCTTCATTGCGGCAGGAGCTTCTCTCTCAGACCGGTACCATCAACGGCCACACGGGGGCGATGGAGCTCAGTGCCACACCAGAGCAGTCTCAAGCCCAGGTGGAGGGGACGATAGGGGGCGCCCTGACTGGACTGGAGATCATAGACGTGCAGCTCCAGCCGGAGCAGGATGAACTGAGAGGGCAGCTGGTGGAGTTTGAGGCCGTACAGGCCGAAACGCTTCCCGACCTGGACAGATCAGACACAGCTTTACCTGACACGGCCCTGACCACCTCCCAGGACCTGGAGGTTCATCAGGACGTCCCTGTACCGTCCAGGAAGCGCAGTTCAGAGGACGATTGTGGAGGGACGAGTGAGGGCAAAGTCTCGCGTGTTAGCTGATGCTAACAGAACTCTGAAAAACATTTTTAGTATAGAGAAAACACATATTTTACTCTGTGGCTCTGATTTTTTCTATCTACACACTGATACCTGTCTGATATCTGGACTTCTCTTAGAAGTAGGGCTGCAAGACATGGACAGATCACCATATTGGGATTATATTGATCCATATTGCGATTTCGATATGCTTACAATATATTAAAACATGGTTACTTTGAGCAACATTATTAGCTGTTGTTGCATCATGTGAGTTTCTTGATTCAACAAACCACTTGCATGTGATTTATTAAAGGGCTCATTTGCATATTGTGGCCTTTTGTAGAAGTTGAAAGTTCAAATCAAACTGCCACAAGGGACGTCTTTCACACTGCCCCGCATAGACATTACACACAGCCTCACATACTAGCACACATCCGAATACCTGGAACCGAGGAATTGATTCTGGGATCGACTCCCAGCCCTAGAAGAAGGAAAGAGTCTGAATGCTTAGATATTTTAATAAAACAATTAATAGTAAATTAGAATTTTTAATGTGCAAATAGGTTGGTCTCTGTTTCATACCAATCAGCCATAGCATTAAAACCACTTGTTTCTACGCTCACTGTCCATCTTATCAGCTCCACTGACCATATAGTTTCACTCTGTAGTCCCACAGTTACAGACTGTAGTCCATCTGTTTCTCTGTACACTTTATTATCCTGTCCTTCAATGGTCAGGACCCCCAGAGAGCAGGCATTATTTGGGTGGTGGGTCATTCTCAGCACTAATAACTCACTAAAAATGAATATTTTAAGCAATCATAAATACACAGTATATTACATCTGTGCACAGGAGTAATGTGCTTGGGTTTCATCATTATCATAATGTTAGAGACTGCTTTAAAGAGTGCTTTTCTTCAGAGAGTGATGGAGAACCTGGTGATCAAGTAAAATCTTCTAATGAAATATGGGATGGTAAGGCCAGAAAATACGTTCATGAAATTTTATTTGACATCGACAATACAGTAATTTGTTCTGTATTGTAGTACATATTTTTACATACAAAACTACATATAGCCAGAGATGGTTTATGAAGAAGCCTGGCCTCTTCCTATTTCCCCCATTATATCAAAAACAGGACAGCTAAACAGCAGAGGGCGCCCATGAGCGAGTCCTCAATGAATGGGAGTAAACAGAGCTCAGCAGCTAAAAGTGAAAAGTTAAAATAGTTTCTAATCACTCGCATTTCCTTTAATTTTAGAAAGCAGAAGGATGTATTTCACTCTTCCTTTTTTCCACAGCAAACGGGTTTTGGGCAGCAGGACGCTAACATTACCGCTACTGAGTGCTGATTGGTTGGCGAGCGGAGCAGCTCATTGGCCGTTTGCGCTCCCTGACGTCATTAACGTACATGAGGCGCCATTTGAACTCGAGTTTAAAAGCTCTTGAAAATACAACAGCGGTGTTAAAATGGTTTATGCTGTTCAGTGTTCAGGAAATTATTATTTGCTTTTTAATAAACATGTTTGAGCATTTATAAACTTTGCTCAAATGCTCCATCTTAACACATTTATTTTGGACTCGCTCGGGAGCGTTTGAGAAACCCGAAAGACATTACAGGGTGGGAATTCTCTCTACAAGTTCTCTGATACGGCGTACTCCACTGTAATTCCTGGGCTTCACCATCATGTCCACATCACGGGGTTGGACGTTTAAAGAACATGTCTGTACACGTTTCTGGTTTGCATGTTTGTTTTATGACCTCCACAATCAAAGTTGACCGATATCCGTTTGTTGTTGCGCTTTCACGTCGCTCCACTAGTTGGCAGTAGAGCGGTTTCCTCTGGTGGCGCTTTAGCTGCAGAACGAGAGTCCAGTTGGATTCATTTACTCCCGTTTGCTGTAAGTATTTTGCTGAAATTTAAATATTTTAATTTAGTTTATTGTATATCACGTTATGATAAATTACATACAACAGAAGTAAACGACAAGTGACGTTTTAGTTCTCCGTAAGTGTAGTTTCGCGCCTTTAGAACCGAGTTAAGCCAAGCTAAGCTAAGCTAACATAAGCCTTGAGTTGTAAACATTTATTAATATTAACTAAAATGTACACACTTGATGTACATACCGTTCTTCAAGGGTTCTACAGTAAAGGGAATAGTTCTGTTTAGAACCATGAGCCCTGTATAGTAGCTACCGTTTGCATGCTTAAATGGTTCTTTGCGTGGTGAAATGGTTCTTAAGGTTGATGGAGAATGTGCTGTATGTGGTTCTGTATGGTACCAAAACAGGGTTCTTCTACGGTTACAAGCTTGACATGGTCACGAAGTACGTTTTTTGGTGCCATACAGAACCACATACAGCACATTCTCCATCAATCTTAAGAACCATTTCACAATGCAAAGAACTATTTAAGCATGCAAACAGTAGGTACTATACAGAACCCATGTTTATGTTTAGTAAAGAACCCTCAAAGAACCACCTGTTTTAAGAGTGTAATGTTAGTGACAGGTCACATTATTACTAGCATGTCAGCTTGGTAACTTGTGATGGAAGTCAAGCAAGTGTCTCAAAAAAAAACAAGAAAGTGTCTCAAAATAATGATGTAGCATCTCAAAATGAGATGGTATTGCAAAATAATGACTAAGCATTTCAGAATAATGACGTAGTATCACAAAATAATGACGTAATATTGCAAAATAATGAATTAGCATTTCAAAATAATGACTAAGCATCTCAGAATAAGAAGATAGTATTACAAAATAATGACCTAGCATTTCCAAATAATGACTTAGCATCTCAAAATAGCGACGTAGTCCCTCAAAATAATGACTTAGCATCTCAAAATAGCGACGTAGTCTCTCAAAATTATGAGCTAGTAACTTGAAATAATGTGTGGCATCCCTAAATAATGAGGTAGTATCGTAAAATAATGAGGTAGTATCGTAAAATAATGAGGTAGTATCGCAAAATAATGAGATCACTATGAAATTGTAGCATAGCACTTTACTTATTAACAGGAGCTGGATTTTTTTTATTTTAAGTGGTGGGAATGGGCTTCCATAGTATTGCATTTTTATTAAAGTATCTGAATCTTTTTTAAATTTGCTTTGCATGTTCTATGGCAGGGGCTGGGGGGCCGAGGATCGTAAGTGGGCAAAACAGTGTGGAAGGAAATTCGACATATGATTAGGTGTGATAAATCACAGTCACAGAGATTTGGTGGTGAGTCATGATTAAAAAAAATATGCAGGCCTGATACATAGGTAATGTTGTTGCTTGCTGGCTAGGTAACATGCAATGACTTTAAAGGTGGCTGTTAATTGTTCCCAGTTCCAGCACTCATTTTTGCTTAAAGCCTCACCGAATTTATGAGTAGGTATTGAAAAAAGTATCAGACCCAGGCCTGAGCATCAGTAGCTGAACTTAACCTAATTCACTGAATACTTTTCAGGGTCTTTGCTAAAACCTGATGACGTCCCACACGGCGCAGGCTGGCACGATGCCCGTCGCTCCGGACTCTCCCTCTCTGGGTGTTACTGTCAGCGGCAATGTGCAAAAATACAGTATAAAGAAGAAGAAGGTGCTGAATGCGGAGGAGATGGAGCTGTTTGAGCTCACTCAGGCTGCAGGGATAGTCATAGACCAAGAGGTCTTCAAGTGAGTAGACATGTAAATGTAGGCTGTGTGTGTGAGAGAAACGAGAGAGATAATGACAGCTTGATTGTTTTTCCCTCGAGAGATTGCATCATTAAAATGGTTAAAATCTGTAACGTCCCCAAATAAAAGGTCACAGCCTGGATGTAACGTCAGAGGACACATTCAGCAATGATAACAACACTCCACCAACACTCATCATGTCTATTAGCAGGTTCTGTTGATCCATTCAGGTGGATTAGAACAGGTTAATGTTTCTTGGCGTTGGGTTCAGCCAATTATGGGAGGTCGCTAACAATTATTGCTGTCAGGCTGTAAAACTACACACACTGCAGATTCATACTGGATTAAAATCACTCCACAATTATTACTGTCAGACTGTAAAACTACACACACTGCAGATTCATACTGGATTAAAATCACTCCACAATTATTACCGTCAGACTGTAAAACTACACACTGCAGATTCATACTGGATTAAAATCACTCCACAATTATTACCGTCAGACTGTAAAACTACACACACTGCAGATTCATACTGGATTAAAATCGCTCCACAATTATTACCGTCAGACTGTAAAACTACACACACTGCAGATTCATACTGGATTAAAATCGCTCCACAATTATTACTGTCAGACTGTAAAACTACACACACACTGCAGATTCATACTGGATTAAAATCACCAATCTTGGCTGTAAAACTAATTCAGTTTTATGGCTGTGGAGCTAATAATTTCTTCTTGCTCTTGTAGGATCATCGTGGACCTTTTGAAGATGAATGTTGCACCGCTGGCCGTCTTCCAGACCTTAAAGGCAATGTGTGCAGGTCAGAAGATTTCAGACACGTCCCTTGGAGACACATCGACAGCATCCCATTCCGCCACCGCCCCCTCCGAGTCCAGAGGTCAGTCAGTGTCTAAGTCTGGACACTCAGAGACATTGATAATTTTCTGAACTAATCTAAAGCCTGTTTTGATGTTTGAGGGCATCTTTAACAAAAGACAGATTCTGTTGTTTCATGAGGTGTTGATAAATATATGCAGCAAATAAATCCCTAAAGAGCACTTTAAACCCTGACGCTTCAAAGAAACAGGGGCTGATTGCAGAGCAGCACTTTTAGTATGTGTCCAAATGACTAATAAAGACTTCTGACTCATGTCAGTTAGTGTCCACTTAATTCCACAGTAAGACTTTACCTTGGGGAGGTTAGGTAAATAAAGCTAGGTTCCTGAAGGAGCACCGCTTTTACAGATCGGATGTTTCTGACTAAGGATGAAGCTGGAACTTTATCTGCTGCTGTCTTTGGCTGTTCTTACACATCCATTTAAAACTCTTAACATGACTAACAGTAAAAGAAAGATGTGTTTTTTGACTGCAAAAAAGGGATTCTTTTATATAGCATTAAAGCATCTTTTATTAAAACATTTTCCTTTTTTATATATATATATATATATATATATATATATATATATATATATATACACACATATATGTGTGTATATATCTCCCTGTGTTATATTGTTTTTTGTAAGTATGATAATTATAAGTAGTATTATTTTTAACTTATAAGTAAATAAATCTAGTTATTGTATTTATATGTAAGTAACTGTGGCCATTACACATTGTCAAGTATATTTTTTTACAGTAATTTTTCAGTAATGTAATTTACTGAATTCAGTGTAATTTAAAAAAGGCCCTTTACATTGTGTGTAAATTTCATGAAGAATGGACCAAAAGAAATGGCCCAAAATTACTTGGAGAAAAGTCTGGTTCCATTGACTTACATTAAAAGTAAAGTGTGTTTTTTTGCTTCTCCTGTAAAGTTACCATCTTGGAGATACGAGGTTTTGTTGTGACAGCAGTGGTATATATGTTTTATTTATATATATATAAAATTACTGAAACTGACCAAAATACATTTGACAATGCGTAATGGCCACAGTTGCTTATATTTAAGTATACAATTTATACTTTTAAATTATGCTTAATTTATACAGTAGTGTGCAAAGTTAATCTTATTACTTTTATTTAATTTCCTGTCAAAACAGCCATTAAGTACACATTATTCATTTTTCAGCATCAAGAAAAAAGCAGAAAACATACGTTTAGCAGAACATACAGAAACCTCAACAACTAAATATACTATAATTTTTTTTTCAGTACTTAGCACACATATCTTCATTACAGCTTAGATTCTTTTCAGGTGACTTGTTTTAAAGAAATATGCAAGGATAATTTTTCACTCTACAAGATTCAGTCTTGCATTTTATGGTTCCCATGATCCACACAATTATGCTGTGGTCTGGACTCTGGGGCGGCTAGTCCATCTGTGATTTTTTTCATTGTTGGTGTCAGGTCTTCCAGGTGGTTGTTAGGAGCCCCATTTTCTCTGTAGCTTTTAATCATATTTTGACTAGCGGCACTTATTTTCCTTTGACTTTCCTGTTACACCTAATCTCAGACTGGAAATTAAATTAATGACTTTTGCACAGTACTGTATTGCACTTTTGTAACAACCAGAGTCGAGTCAGTGAGCTTTACAGCCTAGAGATTCAGACGGAGCTGGCTGTCATCTTCGCTTCACACTTTATTTATTAACTATTCATGGAGTAATACAGACTGATGGCATAAAACCTCCATCAAAACCTTTAATACTTATCTGTTCTCTTATTTCATCGAGTCGTGCAGGTTCCACCATTCATGAGGCTCCAATGTTTTCATGTCTTTTTTTCTACAGTTGAATCCTGTTTTGAGTGAAAAAAGTATTAAACTACTCAACTAATCTTTCATAGCCAGACTACTGAAATAGCTTGTAAAAGTCATGACCTTGTTTCCAAAAAGCATGGCAGCATTGAAGTTGTTTAACCAGCGCTTAAAGTGAATCTCATCTCTAGTTTTATTATGTTCCTGTTTTTCTCTGTTGGGAAACTACTGTGGACAGTATTTGGCAAAGCTGAATTTCTCATTTAACCAGGTATCTTAAGGTAAAATTGAAGCCTCTCCAGCAGGAAAGGAGCTAAGGGGCATTGTAAGTGGGTTTAAGTTATTCCCATACAGCACATACAAGTTGTTTTATGTTGCTCATTTTGCATGCCTTACTGTTGAAAATATAATAATCAGCGTGGGGCATATTGCTCTACAGCAGCAGCTGTAAAATTTGTTCTGCTACTTTCGCCTTTTTTCTGAAGGTTGATGGAGAAATGTCTAACACTAAAACTCTGCTTTGGAGGGCTCATATCCTATACCCCCCACAACAGGATTGGGACTAGATATTCAGAACACATACATTAAGTATCTGCATTACAGGTGTATAAAATCAAGCAACTCGACACTGTCTAAGAATAGCACCTTTTCCTTTTCTAAGCCCTGCTAGATCTGCCCTAGACAACTGTAAGTGCTATTATTGTGTACTGGAAACTTCTCAGCCACAAAGCGGTAGACCTCACGACACTCCGTATCCCTTTGATGTGAAACAGGTCATATGTAAGTGTTAACCACAGCCCTGATGAATCCAAAACAGGCTGTTTTTGCAGCTTAGAGGACAGTAGAGACTAGGGAGCAGGGATGAAGGGATGATGGTCATCAGGAGGAGGACCGAGACAATTCCCAGCACACTCTGAGAAATAAAGTTATGAAACTGTCACTGGGGTGGTACCGTCCAGGGTACATCTCAGTACCTTTAGTTAGGGAACATAACTGTACCATAATCCACTGAAATGATATGTTCTAAGCTGTACTGACTCCACACACCCCGTCTTGTCTCCAGGCTTTTATTTTACTGTTCTGTTTTAAAACATTCGGTTATGAAAAGGTACAAATACGAACTTTTCACCTGGACAAACTTATTTAAGGTTCACAATCAGACCTTAAAACCACTGTTGTACCTTTGAGGGAACATTTACATTGTTTGAACCTTGATGGACAAAAAATGTACCTGTACAGAACCTTTATTTTTAATAGATTGGGTCGCAGACAGAGTGAGAGAGAGAGAGAGAGAGAGAGAAACGGTTGGTCATTTCTAATATAGTCCTATATAAAATGAATGGAGGCTGCCTGGGCACAAACAGCGCGTGCCAGACAAACAGTGGAGTGAATGTGTCTAGACACGTAAGTGGCCCATTGTATGTGCAATCATGCAAATGATGCCCCCAGAACAAATAACTGGGAAGTTAAACTGCTAGAGAGGGATGGAGAAAACGTCCATGATTACGAAAACTATGTTTCTTGATTGAAAAACAAAAAGTTACTTACGCAAGACACAAAGAAATGAAAGCGGACATTTTATTTGGGTCTCAGAGCGAGGGAACCGCAGGGCCAAAGTGCAGAAGGGGTATGTTAGGCTGCTTTTCCACTGCATTTTACCGGCTTAACTCGACTCGACTCTGCTCACCTTTTTTGGTTTTCCAGTAGGCAAATCTGGTACCTGGTACTATTTTTGTTACCACCTTCATCGAGGTTCCAAGCAAGCCGAGCCGAAACCAAAATAGACATAAAAACGCTACAGATAACGCTAGACGTTAGCTACCAGGTTGGCGTAGCCTCTTTCGTCATCTTTTTTGAGCAACCAGAATCGTCTCGTCGTCAGAACTTTGATCCCAAACTCTCCTGTTTTTTATCAGCAGTCTTTTGTCTTGCTGCTGTCAGCCTCTACTGAACAAAATTTGTCTCCTTCACTTCACAGCAGTTTCATTTGGCATAGCTATGACAGCGAGCTCCATTGAGGGGGCGCTATATCTGCAGTGGAAAACGACGTAGCTGGTACCAAAAGTGAGTCGAGTCGAGTTGAGCTATACCATGCAGTGGAAAAATGGCTTTAGCCAATTCATCCAGTCTACTTCTACTTTTAAGGCAGAGGTTGACAACCCAAATGTTATGAAGAGCCATTTTGTTCTTTCAACAAAGATCAAACCACCTTGGGAGCCGCAACATCTTGTGTCTGTTTTACCATCTTGGCTGTAAACGTGTCTCAGTATGTGCTGATGTCCTAGGATAGGCTAAAAAATATGATATAAACAAAAACGCAGACTTACTTTGCTCTGCTTTAAGCTTTAGCTCAGCTATAGCTGCTTTTCTCGCATCTCCAGCAGGAAACCTTTTCTCAAAAGTAGAATATTTTCTTGTAAAATGTCTCTCAACGTTCGACTTTGTACGAGGCTGAAGTCGCTTCTCATTCTTCAGCTTCTTGTTCTAATTTTCCTGTTCCACCTTAAATGGGGCCTGAGGTGCCAGAATGTAACCACAGCACCATTTAAGATGGAGCGGGACAGTTCGAACAAGAAGCTGCTTGCAGCTTTGTGACTTTTTAGTGTTTGACAGTTTCTCGCTGCAGATTAAACATATCAGAGCTGCATGTTGCCGACCCCTGCTCTAAGGCTACACGTTCATTTCGCTATATTTAGCAGTCACTCCAGTTCTCAGCCAAGCTACAGCATCTTTGACGCGTTCACGCTCATGTATTTTAAAGAAATAAATTGTTGTTTGTAAAAACAGTCCAGGGCTGAATTTACGTCCCAGTCCAGCACTGCTAATGCACAGGAGGGAACAGTTTCGAAACTGTCACAACTTTATTTACCAAAAAAACATGGGGTATTTTCAGTTTTCCATGATATGAGCCCTTTAAAACCTGTGCTACTCACAATACAGATGGTTTATTGTCCTTGTATGTCATTTAGTGTTCTCTCTTTTGTGTTAACACCTTCTTCACTTTCCCCTTTGTGTTTTGTGGCACCTGTATGTGCTCTCTGCGTTCGTATGTGTCTCTAAATCTACCTGAAGAAGAGGATCCTGTGGTCTCAGACAAGAGCGCTAAAAAAACAGCTCCCCAGGCCCCTCCCGCTGGCCCTGCCGCCCGCCCTCAAAGGGGAGGGGCTAAGATAGTGGTCTACGGCCCTGGCGACCAGAGCGCTCCTCTCTCTCAAGGTCCTCCCTCTCCTCCTTCACCATTCCTCGCTTTTCACTCGCCTTTGTACTTTCACTGCCGCCGACATTCTCCGCATATTCCAATCCTCTTTCTTCCTCCCTCTATCTCACTGACTCGTATGCCTGCAGGTTCTTTCTTTGTCTTTTTTCCTTCACTTCTCTCGCGCTCTCAGTCTGTTTCAGCTCAGAGTGCATGATTCAGTATTTCTGTCCTCTTTTTCCGTTTGTCTCTAAAGCTGCTCTCCATATGCTAAATAATTAACGTTTAAGTTTGTTTGATTGGGTTCGGAGCACTTAAGCCCTCGGCTTCTTCAAATTCTCTACATAATTTAGTCGATGGGATGTAAACAGAGTGATTCAGAGTGGTTTGATGTGAAATGGTATTGATTTCTTTACAGTGGTGGTGATAGGAACCAGGGGTCGCCATGACTACAACACAGATATAGACATTTACTATCCAAAACCACCAGTGAACCTACACGAGTCTTCTGAGTTTTATGTGGAATGTTGATGATGGTGACTGTTTTGCTATGTGACACTGCGTGTACCTGTCCACCATCAATGTATTAAAAAAAAAAAGGTTTTATGCCAAGAGCTTATCTCAGAACTACTGTGAAACAATGTCTCAGGCATCAGGCAGCGTATAGATAACAACTTAATGCAGTAAATTTCCTGGGAGTGAGCTTTAAGCCGGGCCTACACAACACAATTTTTGCCCAATTTTAACCCCGATTTGCCTCTTGCAACCAATTCTCACAGTCTGAAGCAATTTTCCAGGTCAGGAGCTCGATCGGAAGCCGAATATCCAATATTATCCAACATGTTTAATATTTACGACTCTAAACGATCACGAGTCCTGTAGTGTGAGAAGGTCAAAGTGTCCTGAAGTGTTTCAAACAACAGCCAATCAGAGAGGTAGAAGAGCGGAGAAAAAGGCGAAGAGACGCACCTGAACAGCAGAGCGGAGACAGAGGAGCTGCGTGTAAAACACAGGCAGATAAGAGCTGTTATCATGTTTATAATGTATAGATTTCCCTTTACAGTTTCAGCTCAGCTGCTAGTTTGTAGTGAAATATTTCCCCAGCTCTCACTGTGATTTTCCACTTTCACTGCACTTAAAAGCACAAACAGCTCCAGTGAGTTCAGCTCTGTTTGTGTCGTGTGATCTGAGGAGATCTGGGAGTTTGAGTCCTTATTCGTAGCCCAAACTCGTTATGTGTGTTATTCTCTCTACTTGCCCTGTCGTCTAGTGTGAGCGCCCTCACGACAAAGGCTGTGTTCACTCGGCAGGTAAAAGTGTCCCAAATCTTTTTCCTTTTTCTGCATCTTTGTGAGGGCAGCACGGTGGTGCAGTGGGTAGCGCTGTCGCCTCACTGCAAGAAGGGCCTGGGTTCGATTCCCAGCCGGGTGACCAGGGTCATTTCTGTGTGGAGTTTGCCTGTTCTCCCCGTGTCTGTGTGGGTTTCCTCCGGGTACTCCGGTTTCCTCCCACAGTCCAAAAATAAGCAGTCAGGCTGATTGGACATGTTAAATTGCCCCTAGGTGTGAGTGTGTGACTGTGTATGTCTGTCTGTCTGCCCTGCGATGGACTGGCGACCTGTCCAGGGTGTATCCTGCCTTCCGCCCAATGACAGCTGGGATAGGCTCCAGCACCCCACCGCGACCCAGAAGGATAGGCGGTTTAGATGATGGATGAATGGATGGATGCATCTGTGTGTCAGTGTGAACAGCAAAAAACACAATCTGACATTTTCAATTCCTATTTGAGATGCTTTCATATGTGGTACTGAAATCCGATACGTATCCAATGTGCGGCAATGCGACTCAGTCTGAACAGCCAGATCTGAATTCATGAGACTTTTACATCAGTCCAACTCTGCATTTGTCATAATTTCACGCTGCTGAGACCTCAAACATTTGGGGTGATGTTTCTGTACAAAAAATTAGAAGAGACTCATCCAAAATCCTCCGTGTTCGAAGAGATTTTGAAGAGAAATAAATGTCCGAACGCGGCCGTAGGAGAACGAGGCTGCAGCATCAAAAAACAGTTAAAGTCTGAAAGCAAAGTTTAAAGAATACGAGGATGCGAACCAAAGAAGTGACCGCGCCCTTTTTAGGGCTCGAACACATTCTGGATGATGAGCCCAGCTGTCAGTGAAGCTTCATGATGGCTCCTGTGATGCTGACGCAGATGAAACTGAGCGACTGCCGTTCGTTGGCAGTCGTGATTGTTTACCACTGGATGAGCCGTGAAGCAGCGTGGCACATTGTTCTTTTGCGCATGAGGGTCAGTTTAGGAGCTGATCTGTTCAGACTAGCGTTGCATACAGATCACATTTAAAAGATATTGTGAACAGCCAAACAAAATAATCGGATTTGTTGAAAAAGTAAGATTTGGGCCACTTTTACCTGCTGTGTGAACGTAGCCAAAAAGCATTACGTGATACTCTTCGTTTTAGAAAGAAGAGATTTTCAGAAGTCATGTAGTGTTCTCCCACCACCACTGTGAATGGCAAGTGGCCCAAATCTGATTTTCTCATCAAATCAAATTTATCTGTTAAGCTGTTCACAGTGTCTTGTGACGTGCCTGTGACATAATCTGAACAGATCAAACTAACCCACATGCGCAAAAGAACAACACTTCACGTGGCTCATCCAGTGGTAAACAATCAATATGGAGTCAACAGTAAGAGCCGCTCCTGGAGGCCCCAGTTTCATCTCCACCAGCAGCACAGAAGCTCATAAGGAGTTCCGGTGGCTGACATCGGGACTCATCACCCAGAATGCATTCAAGCTCACTGTAAAAAGGACACATTATTCAGCCACGGTCACTTCTTTGGTTCGTGTCCTTGATTTCTTTAAACTTTGCTTAACTTTTCCTTAACGCTGCAGCCTCTTTCTTCTATGGCTGCATTCAGCTTTTTCTTTGGAAATCTCTTTGAACACAAAGCAGTTTGGATAAGTCTTCTAATCTAACCTTCTAATTTAGTTTGTACAGAAACATCACCTCAGAAATTTGGAGGTCTCAGCAGTGCGAAATCATGACGAACGTGGAGCTGGATTGATGTAAAAGTTCCGAATTCCGATCGGGCTGTTTAGACTGAGTCACATTGCCACATATCAGATACGTATTGGATTTCAGCACTGCATATGAAAGCATCTCAAATCAAAATTGAAAATGTCAAATTCAGTGTGTTCACAGACACACATCTGTGTCACATATGAGGAAAAAGATTGGATTTGGGCCACTTTCACCAGCTGTGTGAACAAAGCCTGAGTTTCTATAGAACCGAGTATTTCACATCAAACCACTCTGAATTACTTTGCTTACATCTGAACTGTTTAATTATGCAGAAGCTTTGGTGTATTTCACATATAATTACAACCTAGTGCAAGTCCTGCATGAAGCATGCCCCCTTTTTAATAACCATATTAGATAAATTCATCTTTCAGTGATTTCTAGTTCACAGTAATGATAGTGGATCATTTGTGATATTTGCTGTATGGTTTATTCTACTGATGGTTCATAGCCAGAGTTGAAAACACATTTTGGACTTTGAACTGATTTGGACTTTAGATTGAAAAATTTTAAAACCTTGATTATGTTCATTTTATTAAACTAAACAATTGAACATTCCATTTTGTCAGTAGGAAAACAGCCAAAACACTCCCCAAACTTTACCAAATGTTTCAGTAATGACCGGTAGTGACAATTTCAGCTCATTTTGAGCAGAATTCAAAAATGCTAGCCAGAACATGTCTAGCAAACACAGCTTTGAACAGCACACACAAAATCATCATATTTTTCATTAAAACACTAAAAAAAAGTACTTAATTGCAGAAAATCTGTTTCGATAGTGGCCATTTTTAATGTTCCACACTGATTTTCAGACTTAAAAATTATGGTATCTACCTGCTCACCATGTGGCCATGATGGGACAAGCATGCAGCCTCACTTCCTGCTCTAAAATGCCAGGGTGTGGCTAAACTAAGGCTCCGCCTACAGACCAAAACTTTGGGTTTCGATAGTGACACGAAAATGTGGGACAGCATTTTTTAAAAATTCATTTTATTAAAAAAATTACTCATAATGAACCCAAATCTTTCAACTGCAAATTGAAAATAATGAAAAAGATCTTTCAAAATATTTATACGCAAATTGTATATATTTACCTTATTACTATCTCTATGAATCCCTTGGGTTTAAATAGATCAGAACATGGTCCTTGTAAATATCTAATGTCTTAATACTTTATTTTTGTGAAGTTTGAACTAATTTGGTAGAATGCTCCGTATATATATAAACATGAAAATTTGGTAAATGTATTTTGATCATTAAACGTAATACATATGTCTCCTCATAACCTCATAACAACAGTTCATCATCATATGAGTGTTGGGAGTGTTTGCTGTGGGTGAACGGTTCTGCATTCATGCTCAGATTGTCTTGTTTTGTTTTATGGTGGTTTTTACAGAGCACTAACATGTCTAATCATACTAACTGTTTATAGGCAGCTCATGGACTCCACCTCATACCAGTTCTCTGGCTTAAGGGAGAACTTCACCTTAACCGCTAACATCATATAATTTCTCCATTTCTCTGTTTCAAAGGAATGCTTCAACTTAACTGCTGACATTATACCAATTCATCGTGTATGCTAACATATCATGCCTTCATTTCTCTAGCTTAAAGGGTGATTCCCAGATTTTCTGCAAAGTTTAATAGTTTGGAATGTTAACCGTCATTCAGAGTGGTTTGACGTGACATACCAGTTCAAGCCTTGTCCACACGCATCTGGTTATTTTTGAGAACGTTCACATAAGAACACAAAAAACGACTCATGTGAGCATGCCAACCCAGTAGGGGGAGATAAAACCCCATAAAATTTGATGTCATACACCTCAAGAAGAACGTAAGCCACTGCACAAGATATTTAGCATGCCGCGAAGGTGATGTCAGCATGTTACAAACACTATAGACGTAGGCCGCCAGAACTTAATTTGGCATTTCACACATATTCAAAATTCTGATTCCTGCCCGAAAATAAAAGTTGCCTTTTGCCTTTGGGTTGCTTATGTTCCTATGGCTACACCACTGTCTCTGAAACGCCTGCACAGTCCTGATCAGCCATTTGAATCATGGAATTAGGATTTATTTCAAATCTCTCTTTGGTTAATGAGTCATATGTATTTAGAGTCATTGAGGTACGTATAATATTTGTAGTCGTTTACGAGAACTGAGTGTGGTACATTCTGACACCACTGCAGTTTAATAAATAAATAATAAATAAAGCCAAAAACAATTCTAAACATGATTATAACTCCAAAATCACCCCTAATCCGCTGAGCACACAGAAGCAGCCCAGTCGCCGGTCATATTTCAGACAGATTTCTGCATACTTAATAATTAAAAACAGCTAAGTTAATGATGTGATGTTAGTGTTTTCAAAAAGCTTTGCCTGTCCACGTGAAAACACTAACAGGGTTTTCAAAAACTGTGCTTTCAGAAATATCCATATACATATGGGCAGATTTCTTTACAGTGGTGGTGATAGGAACCAGGGGTCGCAATGTCTGCAACACTAATATAGCCATTTTATTTACTATCCAAAACCACCAGTGAACCAACATGTGTCTCCTAAGGTTTTGTATGTAAAGTTGATGATGGTAAAATAGCGGAAAATCTATTAACATACAACATCCTGCATGTATCCCTTCACTATGAATGGATTTTTCAAAAAATAATGTTTTAGGCCACAAGCTTACCTCAAAACTACCCTAAAGGAATGTCTCAGGCATGAGGCAGCATATTAATAACCATTTTACATAACAACTTTGAGAGGCATTAAACTCCTCAGACGTCTGGTTCCTATCACCATCACTGTGAACAGTTCTGACTGTAAGTTTCTCTAGAACAGAGCATTTTACACCAAACCAATCTGAATGATGTGGAAAATGGGTGGAATTCCCCTTTTAAAGACAACCTTCACCTTAACATCACTAGTCACAAACATGCAAGAAAGAAGCTAAAACATTCCCAACTTTCA